GATACTGTGTTGTCTAGTACTGTAAGAGGTGGTAGACTAGGACGGCTTCTTCTAAAATCTACTGTCATTTCTACAGTTTTGAGTGTGTTCAGTTCAAGATTCTTCTGGGTGCACCACAAGGCTAGTTGTTCAACTTCCCGTCTATATGCAGATTCATTGTTGTCTTGAGTGAGACCAATCACTGTTGTATCATTAAAAACTTCAGTACTGAAGCGAAAAACTATTGGGATAAAGTTAAGTTATGGATGGAGGAAATGATACTGCAACATATAGATTTAAAACCAGAGCTATTCCTATTGGGTATCTTATCAGAGAAAACTAGTAAAGATAATATATATTTGATTATACATGTAATAACAGCAGCAAGGATTGTTTATGCGCAAAAGTGGAAAGCAGAGAATATATCTTTGGAGGGAGAAGTAATTTAAAAAAATCTTAGATTGTGCAGAAATGAATAGATTAACTATGATGATAAAGGAAAAAGAAGGATATTTTAAGATATGGAATAAATTTTACTATTGCTTAGAAAAGAGATACAAATAAGTTTTTAAAAGAGATTTAAAAAAATTGGTTGTAATTAGAATAAAATATTAGTGGAAAATCTTTGTAATGGATTTGGTGAGATTGAACACAGAAGAGGAGAGAAGAAACTTTTGAAGATAACACCGAAATGTCACATCGAAGAAATGAATGATGTACTAAATGTTTGTTTGTCTTAAAAAATAAAATAAAATAATAATAATAAAAACCTTCAGTACTTTTAACAGAGGGATCCTTTGAGATGCAGTCTTCAGTATATAGAAAGAAGAGAAGTGGGGAGAGCCCAAAGCCCTGGGAGGTGGGGCTGTGCTAATTGTTCCGGTATCTGATATGATTTTGCCTCGCTTCACCTGCTGCTTCCTGCTATTATGAAGCTTACGATCCACTTACAAGTGTGGTCAGGCATGGCTAGATGAATCAGTTTTATTAGAAGAATATCTGGAATGATGGTATTGAATGCCGAGCTGAAGTCTACAAAAAGGACCCTTTCATAGGTCCTTGGAGATTCAAATTGTTGTAGGATGTAGTGCAGAGCCATATTAACACCATTATCTGCCAATCTATTTGATCTGTAAGTAAATTGCAGGGGGTCTAATAGTGGATCCGTATTGGTTTTCAGGTGGGCCAGCACTAACCTTTCAAAGGTTTTCATAATTATGGATGTCAGAGCAACCAGTCTGTAGTCATTCAGCTCCTTAATAGAGGGTTTCTTCAGCACTGGGATGTTAGTAGAGCATTTGAAGCAAGAAGGAATATAACACACATCTAGTGATTTATTAAAGATGCAGGTGAAGTTGGTCAGCGCAAGCTTTCAAGAAAGAAGGAGTTACCTTGTCTGGGCCTGGTGCTTTTCCAGGCTTTTGTCTGAGAAATAAATCTCACAATTTTTTCTGAGGTGGGGCCCCAAAGGCATGGGGTCAGTTGTAGGAGGCTTGGCTGTTGTTCATGTATCTTAGATGGAGGCAACAGTTGACAGTGGTTTTCTTTCAAACCTACAGTAAAACACATTCAGGTCATCTGCCAGTTGTCAATTTCCTTCAGCATGGGAAGGAGGTTTGCTGTAATATTTGATATTTTAAAGAGTTTTCCACACATTCGCTGTTCATTTGTTGAGAGTTGATTCCTCAGCTTTTCAGAGTAGCTTCTTTTTGCTACTCTTATCTCCCTTGTTAATACTTTTCTGGCCTGACTGTATAGCATTCTATCTCCTTTCCTGTAGGCTTCCTCTCTAGCACAACGTAGCTGCTTGAGTTTAGCTGTGAACCAAGGCTTTTCACAGGTTTCTGGTCAGCATACACAGGTCTTCACAAAAACTAACATATGATGTTACAGTATCTGTGAGTTCATCCAAGTCTGCAGAGGTATCTTCAAAAACATTCCAATCTGTGCAATCAAGGCATTTTATCAAGCATACTTATTTATGATTATATCAAGAACTACAAATCATTTATTTTTAATTTTTTAATGTTTTAGTTAAAATTACCAAATCTCAAAGGAAACCAGCTTTTGTTTTAGAATACTATCCATTTGCATATCTGTACCACATTGCAAACACAGCATCTTCTTAAATTGTCTGGAGACCTGTTACTGGAAGCTATACCTGCCCCCAAAAACATTGACAGTAAGTGCTCTGTCATGTTCCCAATGCAACTATTTTTAAGGATATTAATAATTCACAAATTGTCTTTATTTAGTTTGGAGGGACCACATGGCCGAACTTGTTAGTTAACAGCATAGCATCTGTCCCTTTCTACTATATTATTCATATTATTGCATATTCTAGGTTGAGAAACTGGATATGTTCACATCTAAGGCTAAGCCCTATTTTTTTAAAAAAATTGTATTTGATTTGATGAATAAGAAACACATATGTATAAGCTATAATAGGTGGAATTATGCAAAATACATTATATTTAATATGATAGCACCCAATTTACACAATTAATGCTAAAATATGAATTTGTATATGAAAAACATTTATAAGCCATATGCTGTTTAAAATATAGCTACTATAATTGGAAAAGTGCCTAGAAATCATATTTCAGCAATATTAGAAGACCTTATCCACACAAGAAGCATTTTAGAGATGAGAAATGATAAGTAAACATATCTAGTTACTTTACCGACATGTAGTCAGATTTTTCAAGGGGATTGTAAAATGAAATCAAAAGAAGATTCAATAACTGAGGGATGTTGTTGATGATTTCTTATGTACAATTAAAACAAAAAATTAAAGTGAATAAATAAATAAAAGCTATTATGATTTTACACAGGGTAAGATTGAATTTGAAATAGAATTATGTACAGCATAATGATGAACATGTTACTGCTAAAATGGATTAACTTTTATTGAAATATAAGACAGAAGAAGAACAAGTGAAATGATGTAGGATAAAAAGAGTGAAAAACTTTAGCTATAGTATACAAATGGACCATTGGGAAAATATGTGGTTGAAAGGATTGAAATTTGAATGTTTATAAAATTATGTATCATTGGTGTTTGTTCCAGAGAATATATAAAAGTACTTTAATCTTTGTTGGAAATGTGAACAACATGAAGATACATTTTTTTATCATATTTAATAGTCATGTAAAAAAAGCTAAAACATTTTGGATAAAAATGAATGCATTAATTCAAAAATTCTTAAAACTTAAAGTACAACTATAACCAGATAATCTTCTTTTGGGACTAATGGGATAAGCAACCAGAAAAAAATAATAATGGAACTTTGTTTTTATATATGACAATTGGAGCAAAATTATTATATGCTCAAAAATGGAAAGACTTCACACTACTTACACAGAGGAATGGTTGGTGAGGTTGATAAAAGTCATAGGGATAGCTAAATTAACTTCTTCAGTTAGAGAAAAACAATCTACCGTACATTTATAGTCAACTGGAAATCCCTTATATACTTTTTGTATGAAACAGAAAAAATGCATTTGTGATTTGTGATTTTGAAGATTAGGAAAAAAAACATAATAGAAAAGATCAGAGTTTTTTGTAATTTAAAATAAGGGATAATTTTGTAAACTACCTTCCTTCCTTCCTTCCTTCCTTCCTTCCTTCCTTCCTTCCTTCCTTCCTTCCTTCCTTCCTTCCTTCCTTCCTCCCTCCCTCCCTCCCTCCCTCCCTCCCTCCCTTTCCCTCCTTTGCATTTTTGCATGTATTATAAAAGATTAATGAAATTGTATTTTAAAGAAGTATTAGAACAGCTTAACTAGAGTGCTTCTAGACGGAACTCAAAGTGCTACTACTGTTCTAAATGGTTTTTTCTCCCATGCTAGTCTTACTATCGTTGAAATTGATTTCCCAACATTTTTAATGATAAAATTCCCCATGCAAGATAGAAAGTAAGTATCTAATAAACTTGCTGAACTGAGGTATCAATTTGTAGAATGTTCTAAGGAAATCTCACTTGCTTTTTATAACAGACTTATTTCTATTGTATAAAATCTAATACCCTTTCCAACTATTTTAGGCTGCTTTAATTTTTTAATATAAAACGTTCTTTATTCAGTTCTGTTTTTTTTGTGTGGGATAATTATATTTATATTTATTATTTTATATATATATATATATATATATTATATATATATATTATATATATATATATATATATATATATATATATATATAAAAAAAATTAAAATCTTGGGTGTTTTCCCACGTCATTGTAAATAAGTTGGTTAAAATGTTTAAAACTCTGGTTAAAATCCCAGCTTAAAATCTTCTAAAAATCCCTACAGAGCACTCTGCAAGATCTTTTAAAAACTCAGCTAAAATCCTACCAGTGACTTTAAAAGTCTCTCTTATAGCAACGTTTCGACAGGCTCACAACCCTGTCATCTTCAGGCTCATGTTTTGTTTGGAAGCTATGGGTTCCAAACGAAACATGAACCTGAAGATGACAGGGTTGTGAGCGTGTCGAAACGTTGCTATAAGAGAGACTTTTAAAGTCACTGGTAGACTGGTTTATCACATAACTAGGGATTCATACAGGAATTCCACAAAAATAATTGGGAGAGGGTTTTTTTGAATAACATTCCTTTAAAAATAGCAGTGGACAGTTTTAAAAACTCCTGTAACTTAAGTGTTTTAGAATATAGTGGTATGCTAACTTTCATGGCAACACTGGTGGCAAATGTCACGTTGAGCGAGGGTTTTTTTGTGCAATAATTTTAGTAATGTCACTCCTTGAACTAAACATTTACCTTTAGACAAGTGTAATATTCTATAGGAAAGATTTGACCCAAAGCAAAAAAGGAATACTTACCCATGTGTTATCTATTGTATTTTTATTTTGTATGTACTTATATCTAAGAACAATTTAAAACAAACCGGTTATTCCCCACAAAACCAACCTTGTGAAGTAGGTTGAGCTGAGAGACAGTAATTTGCTCAGAGTTGCCCAATGAGTTTCTGTGGCTGGAATCTAATTTAAGTAAAAGAAGCTCACCTGAACATTAAACATAGCAATATGGTGGAATTCACCACGGCCGCCTTGTTTAACTGGAACTGTCATAAAAAATGTATTGCCATCTTTAGAAAAAACTGGCTCCTCATTCTATAAAAAAAAAAAAAAAAACCAGAGAAAAATATTCTTGTTAAAAACTACTTCATATATGCTATCATTTTTACGGATGGCATATTCAAATACTGAACACATTGAAGATAAACAATATATTATGGCATAAATATGATTTTATGTTTTTTACTGTTTTTACAAAGGCTTATAAGACACTCAGGGCCATGGTGCATAAGGTGAGTGGCTACAGATGTCATCTAAATCAGTGGTCCCCAACCTTTTTATCGCCGCGGCCCGCTGAGCGCGCGCAAGGGTGGGGGCACGGCCCAGGAGCTTTTGCGCACGGCCCATTGCACACGGCCCAGGAGCCTTTGCGCTGCAGCGTTCATGTCCCCTGGCCGCTGCGCGGCCCAGTGCCAGGTACTCCACGGCCCGGCACCGGTCCGCGGACCGGGGGTTGGGGACCACTGATCTAAATGAATAAGAGTCAAGATAACAAAGCACAAAAATAATTCAAGAGGCAATTCCATTACTTAGAAATCTCCCCCACCCCCAAAACCCCCCAACAATTTTAAACTGCTTTGCAATAGAGTAAATCCTTCTTTGTGCCTTTAGGTTAATGTATAGATGGCTTAAGGTAAGCAGAGAATACAGTTCATAGGCAGGTCTCACCTTGATTTCCTGACCTCCATGAATTTTGCATGGCGGTCCAAAGGGAAACTGAATTTGCCTTCACAGGAACACAAAAAGGCTTTCTATGCAAGCTGGCTCTGGGAACATTCTGAGAGACCTCCTCACCTTGAAGGAAATGCAAGTACAGTTCTCCTGACCTCCAGACAATTACTTAAAGAGGGCTAACCTCCTGGAATCCAGGACAGCTTTTTTTACAGTGAAATATACCGGTAATTACCATTAACACTGTAGGAAACTTACATGAAACTTCTGTCTTCCAGTAAGTTACTAGTGTGAATCATTGGCTATGTCTGTATTTTCTTATGGATTGTGGATATCTGAAAATACAAATATAGTCCATGATAATCACTTCACACTTGTATGTGTGTGTGTGTGTGTGTATACAGACTGCCATACTAGTTCCCTTGGAAGAGACTTACTTTAGGATCTCATTGGCCAAAGAATTTTGGATGGTTAGGTCTATGAGAAGAGTCTTTTCTTCTGTAGCCCCTGCTCTCTGTAATATTCTCCCATTAGAGGTGAGATCTTCTCCCACACTCCTGGCCACTGGAAGAGTCTGAAAACTTGGCTCTACTGCTTGGCTTGAGGCCCTGATAGGGGCCTGCTACATCCCCAAGCCCAGACCGTCCAGCGCCTTGGTTTTTAGTTATGTATTGAATCCTCTCAATTTTAATTGCTTTGTATTATCTTTGTTACTGTTTTTATTATATTGTAACCTGCTCAGAACAACTTAAAACTTTAATTAATGAATAAGGCAAGCTCTGCAGCAGAGAAAGCCCACCTCACGAGACCCACCAAATGTGATTCCCTGACAGGACACACAATATGCTTTCCCTGCTACATCCAATAGGGTGGAATGATAAAATTGGGGACAGGTGGGCCCTCAGGTAATCCAGTGCCATAGCATAAAGGGTTTTAAAGATTAGCGCCAACCCCTTGAATTGGACCTGGAAGCAAACTGGCAACCAATGCAGCTTGCAGAACAGAGGTGTAACATGCACTGTTCTAGGAGCACACTGCCTGTGCTATGGCATTCTGCACCTGCACCTGAAGGCTTTTGGATACTCAGCCCCATGTTGAGTGCATTATAGTAGTCCAATCTGTAGGTGACTAGGGCATAAATCACTATTAGCAGAGTCTGCCAATTCAGTAATGGGCACAAGTGGCGCATGACACAAAGCTATGCAAAAGCTTGTGTTTTGTTTACTATTATTTACTATGTATAATATTAAATTTTATAATTTTTTGGCTTTATTTTAAAAATGGGAAGCTCATGGAAAGTTATTTTGCACTATCATTATGTATTAGAATAGAATAGAATAGAATAGAATAGAATAGAATAGAATAGAATAGAATAGAATAGAATAGAAGAGTTGGAAGGAAACTTGGAGGTCTTCTAGTCCAACCCCTTGTAGGAAACCCTACAACACTTCAGACAAATGGTTATCCAACATCTTAAAAATTTCCAGTGTTGCAGCATTCACAACTTTTGCAGGCAAGTTGTTCCACTGATTAATTGTTCTAACTGTCAGGAAATTTCTTCTTAGTTCTAAGTTGCTTTTCTCCTTGATTAGTTTCCACCCATTGCTTCTTGTTCTACTCTCAGATGCTTTGGAAAATAGTTTGACTCCCTCTTCTTTGTGGCAACCCCTGAGATATTGGAACACTGCTATCGTGTCTCTCCTAGTACTTCTTTTCATTAAACTAGGCATACCCAGTTCCTGCAACTGTTCTTCATATATTTTAGCCTCCAGTCCCTAATCATCTTTGTTGCTCTTCTCTCCACTCTTTCTAGAGTCTCAACATCTTTTTTACATCGTGGCGACCAAAATAGTGAGATGGTTTCTTGTCTAATGCGTTGAAATTCATTTTTATTAAGACACTTGATTAGGCATTTGTCTAATGGCAGACTTATTATGTATTGCTCTGAAGGAAAGAGAAGCTGAGGGTGTCTTCCCTTTGGCAATCTATGGGGTTATGGGCCAAAAGTCAGACTTTCTGTATGTAACCCTATCCTGTGAAATCCTATGCTTCCTTTTGCCTGGTTGGATAACCATCTGTATTATGTCAATGTATATAGTTTAATATACAATATAAACTGCCAGGAATCAGAATAAGCTGGGCAGTATCAAACTGCAAGCTATCAAAGACCTATACTAGAATTTTATTCTATGATGCCATCAGAAAAATACAGCAACTATAGTGAGGTACCAACTCATTTATTTTTTTAACTCTGCTGAAATTACTCCCAAGCTTTTAAGAAATCATCAATATCTGTACTTTGTTCCAAATAATTAATAATACTATACCTGCTTAGAAAGCCAGACTTCAGATGTAAATTCATACTTCTAAAAACAACACAAAATATAGTTAAGTATGCATAAATATCAAGAAGTTATTTATTGCAGAATTATATGCCTAATAGGTTGCATTTTGAATCTTAAAACTGATGGATTGATCAATTTTTATTAGCTGCCACAATCTTTTCCAATCTGAGTGCTCTTCGGTTATATGAAGCAGTTCATAAAATGTCAGCAATGGCCATATATGATAGATTATGGGGAAGCTGTGAAATGAGTGGAAGACAGAACAGAAAAAAAAACAAGTGCAAGAGTCGGCTGACAGAAATGACAACTTACATCAAATAGATACGAGATCTAGGATGAAGTATTTAAATCATTCAAAGAGACTCTGCCTTAATTAACTTATATGAGAGAGTGAGAAATTTAACAAAACTTTGTAACAGAGTTGGAAGGAACCTTGTAGATCATCTAGTCCAATCCCCTGCTCAAGCAGGAGACCCAATACTATGTCCAATCTCTTCTTGAAAACTTCCAGTGATGAAGCACCCACAACTTCTGAGGGCAAGCTGTTCCATTGGTTGATTGTTATGTCATTAAAAAATTCCTTATTTCTAGGTTGAATCTCTCCTTGATCGGTTTCCATCCACTGTTCCTTGTCTGGCCTTTCGGTGTTTTGGAAAATGGGTTGTCCCTTTCCTCTCTGTGACAGACCCTCAAATATTGGAATACTGCTATCATGTCAACCCTAGTCCTTCTTTTAATTAAACTAGATATACCAACTTCCTGTAACCATTCTTCATATGTTATAACCTCCTCTCACCTAATTATTTTTGTTGTTCTTCTCTGCACTCTTTCTAGAATCCCAATATCTTTTTTAGTGTGGTGATCAAAAGTGGATGTAGTATTCCAGGTGTGGCCTTACCAAGGCTTTATGTAGCGGTACTAGTATCTCATGTGGTCTTGATTCTGTCCCTCTGTTAATGCAATTTAGGATTGCATTGGCTTTTTTGGCTGCTGCTGCATACTGCTGGCTCATATTTAATTTATTGTCCACTAGGAATCCAAGATCCATCTCACAGTTACTGCTATTAAGCCAGGTTTTACCTAATCTGTACATGTACTTTTGATTTTTCTGGCTTACTTTTCTCTACACTGAATTTCATTTTGTTAGATAAGGCAGAGTATTCAAGTCTGTTGAATCTTGAGCCTAGGGTATTGTCTATTTTTAGTGTCATCTGCAAATTTGATGAGTTCCCCTTTAATTCCCTCATCTAAGTCATTTATGAAGATATTGAAGAGTACTGATCCTAAGATGGAACCTTGTGATATCCCTGCTTACTTCCCTCCATGTAGATGTAGGGAACTACTAAGGACTACTCATTGAGCATGGTTTGTCAGCCAGTTGATTTGTCTTTGAATAGTTTGAATTTACATCGCACTAACATTAAGTGAGGGAGTGAATGAATTTTAGCTCTTAGTTCCTTGTTTTTGTCCAACTGTATGGGGCTGGCAATCATGACACCTGGCTACCTGTAAAAGCTTGAATGGTTTGGTTGTTTGATATCTACAGTACCACCTGCATTGTATAATTCCAAATGACAGCCTGAATTCATGTTATTTTAAGGATGTTAAGTGAATTCAGAGCATGGGGCCTTGAAAGCAAAATACTTCATCTCTATGAAACAGCCTACTCCCAAAAATTTGAATGGCACCCTCTCTACTGCCTTTTAGAAAGGATATTCAATATGCACTGTTACTAAAGAAAGACCCCTAAGAGTTATGATTGTTACACTCCTGTTATAACTGAAGATAATGTTTTAATTTTTACGGGAGTATCATTGGAATTGGTGACTTGCAAACATACAAATACTCTGAAAATAGAAATCCATATATTGGAGAGCTCCAACATTTCTGAAAGCATAATTATGAACTATTGTGCATTTAAATTAGCTGCAAAATTGCATATAAATGCTATTTGACACAAAAAGGACACAAAAGTGTAGGTTGTTTAACACTACTGTAAGTAGTAATCTTTCAAAGATAATTTCCTGTTTTTTTCTTTAATGGGGGAAATCTGTAAATTCATAAAGGCTGCTAAACACATGCTCTTCTTTCAGCTATTTGTGATTCTAGTTTAAAAAAGGGACACTAGAAGAATGAAGAAAAATAATACTTTTTTAAATTAAAGAATTTACAGTATGAATGTATGAATTCTATAAACAAAATGCCAAACAACTGTCAGGAAAAATAAGGCTTTTTAATTTTTATTTTTTTTTTGCAAATCCACAGAAAAACCACCCAAACTAACCAGGTGCTCCACTACCAAAGCAAGAACCCAACCTCCCACCAGACAAGCTGGGTAAGGACTTTATTTAAATGAGGCCAAATACGCTGCAGTAACCCAGAATAGCAGAAAAAGGAAATAGAACAGTGATGAAATTTAAAATTTGTTTCTACTGGTTCTGTGGGTGTGGCTTGGTGGGGTGGGGGTAATGTGACTGGGTGGGCGTGGCCAATTTTTTTAACTTTTAAAATCATTTTTCTACAACCTTTTAGGCGAAGAGGTTGTAAAAAAATGCTTTCAAAAGGCTCTGATGATCCCAGCTGCGTTGCCTGATTGGCAGAGGCTTTTTTTCTTTTAAAAGCCGCTGCTGATCAGACAACTCAGCTGGTATCGTCAGAGGCATTTAAAAGAAAAAAAGCCTTTGCTGATCTGAAGAGGTTGTAGAAAAAGTGCTTTTAAAAGCCTTTGATGATCCCAGCTGAGCCACACGATCATCAGAGGCTTTTTTTTTTACTTTTAAAAGCATTTTTTTCGGCCGAAGAGGTTGTAGAAAAAATGCTTTTAAAATTTTTTTTAAAAAAGCCTCTGATGATTGTGAGGCTCAGCTGTGCAGGGGGGGGGGGGGCAAGGATTTTTGCTACCCGTTCTCCAAACCACCCGCCTCCATCACTACCGGATCGGGCGATCCGGTCTGAACAGGAGCATTTCACCCCTGAAATAAAACATCTATACAACATATTCCAACAAAATGGATACCCATGGAACTTTATCAAAAAACCCCTGACCACTCAACTCAATACAGCACAGCCAACACAAACGCTAAAAATAATTACTTTAGTATACATCAAGAATAACTCAGAAACCACCAACAGACTACTGCAACCACATGGAATCAGCATAGCACACAAGCCAGCTAAAGCCTTCAAAACATCCTAAGCAAACCAAAAGTCCCAGCAATCCAAGAAAAAAACAGGAGTCGCCTACAACATGCAATGTAAGAACTGCAACAACTATTACGTAGGACAAATAGATAGAACACTAGCAGACGGCATCCATGACAAAAATTCTTTAATTCCACAATATATAGACCGATTTAACCATAGTTTCAATTGGGAAAATATGACAATTATAGACTAGGCCAAATCCAAAAATGCCAGGGAATTTCTAGAAGCCTGCCACTCTGACAAATCAGCATTAATAGACACACAGACATTAACAACATATATGGACTATGCAAAAGAGACAATCAACCAGCCCAAAAAAGACCCCAGCACCTCTCCACCAGCAATCAGCACCCAGATTAGCATAGATTAACTCCAAGGTTAATATATAGGTCAATATTTTAATTACAGTGTTTATTTCCTTAAACAGGGCAGGAGGGTGGATTTGGTCCCTTTGAATCAATGTTGATTCCTTGTGATTTTCTAAACACATCCCTGAAGTTTTCTTGGCAAGATTTTCAGAAATGATTTTTCATTGTCTTCTTTCTGGGGCCGAGAGAGAATTACAGTGGGCTTTGTGCCTAAGGTTGGACTAGAACTCACAATCCTTTAATTTCTAGCATGGTGCCTTAAACCACTACACCACACTGAGCCTCATTTAAACAGTGTCCTGTTTTTAGATACAAAACCTAAAAAAATTGAAATATAATTATTCAAAAAAAAAAAAAAGCTCTATAACAAAAGAATTAAAAATAGCAAAACTAGAAAAAAAAAGAATGAAGTTAAAAAGAAAGGAAGAGAAGAAAATACACTCTCAAATAACACAGTAAGACTTCTTTCTAGCTAACAGCAAAAATAATAGAATCATATTGATTCAAATCATCAGGCATTTTTTTCAACTACAAATTAAACTGATCATATTGTCTGATTTTCTACAAGCTAATATAAGAGCTGACAAATCTTACTTGGCAAGTGTTTAGAGTCTGGTAGATCATCTGTATTATTTTCTGATCAACAGAAGCAGGTTAAGCAATTGGCTTAGACATAAATTACTAGTTTGCCATTAACTCTTTTCAAAAAGAACACCTTGCCGTTGACAGTATTATGGGATTCCAAAATTATCTATTGTTATAATACCAGTAATTGCTGTTTCATCTCCTGGATAAGTGCTGCCAAATATCCTACTGAGAATTCAAACTGTTTCCTCACTCTGTTTAGCTTTGTCAAATAAAGATAAATTTTTGGAACCCAGAATAGTTTTATGGATACCCAGCTGTTCTCCCTACCTGATTTTCTAGCCCATGGAGTTGGAATGAAGAACAAAAGTATCATCTGATATTTATGTTCGTGGCAGGTTGTCTTTGTCTGTAAGCACACTAGATCTACAGTGAGGTATTTAATACAAGTTGTATGTTAATGCACAGAAATGAGCTGAAGTAAAAAAAAAAAAAAAACCTCTAAAGCTTGTCCTACATGCATAAGAACCATTATTAAAATGTAAGCTTAAAAATGAACAAGAAGTTTCATACCATACTACAGGCACCAGTGGTTGTTTCACACACTGTAAGGATGGATAGATTTTGAGGCCTGTTTAGCCACCGCACCACAGTCTTAGTGTTGCTCACCCACTTGACCATCGTTATATAATATTCTCTAAAACAGAGATGGATTGTAAAATACAGGAGTTACAAGCAGTTTGTATCAATTGCTTTAAGATATACAAGACATTGAAAAATTGCTGTAGGCAATGTGAATATTGCTATAGGCAATGTGAATATGCTATATTTAATACTCAAACATCCTTCAAAATTGACTTTAGCATATTCAGAATATGTAGGATAACTTTCATGTTGTTTTGATCACAATACTTTGCCTTACAGTTTATCAAACTAAACCATACATACATACAGAGATATAATCTTCAAATCCATAAGCAAAATGCCAACATAGTGCCAGGAAAAACAAGAGATAGTATGGTTAACTATTTAGGGAGTTGGACTGTGGAGTGCATGTAAAATGAGGTGACCTTAGGCCAATCACTGTCTCTTAGTCCAATGAACAGGATTGTCACTGTGGGTGAAAACTGGAGAACGGAGTACTAACAAAGTCACTTTCAGCTTCTGAATGAAAGATAGGGCATATGAACATAACAATATCATAGCATTCAATAATTTTTGGCTACATAAGAGAATCTACACATAATATTTATGGTTGGAGCTATTCCCTCTACCTCTAGAAGACTTATTAGATTGTCATACAGAAATACTGTAGTTATGCAGGGTAGTTTTCATTACCAGTTCTGCCGTCATTTAAATTTAGAAATACTTAAGTTCTTAGTTGATTACGTGCCATAAAATTGTTGCCATTCTTAGCAACCCATAAGTACGGGACTCCCTGTACTTATGTTTCCACTTAAAAGAATATCAATCCACAGCAAAAGGTGAAAAATATTTTACAACAATACACCTGGATTTCTTTTCTTTTTTTTTGCCTTTTTTTTTCTTTTTTTCTTTTCTTTTATTAAGATTACACCTGGATTTCTGATGACATCTGTGATATTTAACAATAATTTTGCCAAATCACAACTCAAAATGTTTTCTTATTACTTAATATCTTGAAATAACATTGTACTTTTCCATCACAGGTAGTCCTCGACATACAACAGTTCTCTTAGTGACTGTTTTAAGTTACAACAGCACTGAAAAATGTGACTTATGACCCTTTTCCACACTTCTGATCATTGCAGTATCCCCGTGATCATGTGATTTACATTTGGATGCTTGACAACTGACTCACATTTATGATGGTTGCAAAGTTCCGGCTCAGTTGTAACTTGAGGACTACCTGAATTTCAATTTGATGGTTACAAGCATTATTATTATTTATAGGTACTCTCGACTTATAGCCATTCATTTAGTGACTGTTCGAATTTACAGCAGCACTGAAAAAGTGACTTATGACTTTGTCACGTGATAAAAATTTGGGTGCTTGGTAAGTTATATAGTTATCAGTTGCAGCATCCCAGGGTCATGTGATCACCATTTGTAATCTTTCCCGCCAGCTTCTGACAAGCAAAGTCAATTGGAGAAGTCAGCTTTGCTGAACAACTGTGTCATAAAAGTTGTAAAATGGGATGCAACTCACTTAACTCCCCCATTTAGCAGCAGAAATTTTGGACTCCCCTGTGGTTGTAAGTCAAGGACTACCTGTATTGGGATACTTTTTTTTTTTTTACTTTTTCTTTCTTTCTTATAAATTTTGGAATTGTACAAACAAAAACCCTTTAAACAAGCTTATTAATATTTGACACATGCTTAGTAAAATAAGCAGACAGTAAACTCTAAAAAGAAAAGGAATTTCTATAATTATTATATAGACACAGATATATTTTATATTCCTTAAAATAAATCTTACAATTGTATTAGATCAATTTCACATTTAGACATCACCTTCACACTGTTGTTTGGTGCATCAAACATAACACTTAATTCAACTGTTCTATATTTATGCCTGTGTCTGGGAGGAGGAGACTTTTGCCTAAAGGTCAAGTTTCTTGGAACATCAGTTACATGCAACATCAAGCAGAGACACTTTTTCAAATTGTGTGGGGCCTCAATTGCTTAGGTATCCCCTCTTTGCCTTTCATTGTTGTGCATACCTCTTTCACACACATTTATATACAAACAAAAGGCCCTTCCCAAAGGCTCCTCAGCTGATCAGTGTAGAACAGCTGAGGAATATTGGCAGTTTCTATGGTGATACAAGTACTTCAAAGTTTCAAAAATAGAGAGTGTGCAAGAAGCATCCCTGTAAAACGGGGTGTCAAACTCAATTTCATTGAGGGCCACATCAGCGTTGTGTTTGACCTCAGGGGGAGGGGTGAGCATGGCTGGGGTGGGCATGTCCAGCTCGGCATCACTCATATAGGGAGCGCCTGTGGTGGGCCAAGTGCTCTGCCAATGAAAACGGGCTCCCGAGCTCCATTTTTGGTTGCGACAGCCTCCTGCAACCCTCTGCCAGTGAAAATGGAGCTCAGGAGGCTGCCCACGGCCCTCCCATGCTCCATTTTCACTGGCAGAGGCACCACAGGCCAGTTCTTCACTGTTTCCAGGGCAGCCCTGCATGCCAGATCTAAGCACCCCGTGGGCTGGATCTGGCCCCCGGGCCTTGAGTTTGACACCCCTGCTGTAAAAGGACAGCAAAACTGCTTCAAAAGTTGCTCCTGGCTATTCTTGCCTGCATACTGTTTCAAAGCAGCCATTATGAATATGGGGAAATAAATGGCTCATTATACAACTCCTTGAAAAAAATGTATAACGCCAATATTTTTCTTTTGCTTTGTTCTGAGAAACAGTATATTCTCTTTGCAGTGGTGGAATAAAGTACAGGACTTAACTCTGAAATCTTATAAATTGGAAGGGATTTTTTCTCTCCTCCTCCTCCTCTTGGTACTGAATAGGAGATAGCCTTAGAAAAGGTTAGGACCAGTAATGAAATATGGTGGATTGAAAGAGAAAAGCCTGTGGGGCAGAGTTTCTTCATATTTGGGCCAGAGAACAGGCACTTTTTGGACGCAAGGGCAAGGAGCTCTTCATGAATAAGCAATAATAATAGAAGACTGGATGAATCTTCATTGAACAGAAAAAAGCCACTGAGTTAATTTGTTGTTTAAAAGGACACCCGCCCAAACCACCACCACCCTTGAATCCAACTTTTGATATGTGCAGAATGTAAAACTTAAGAAAGTCTCACCAAATCTCCCACTGCAGTCTTGGTATCTGTTTGCCTTATTGCATTTACAGCACATTTATATGCAGCCTTGGCCGAATCTAAGTGTTCACTGAAGAGGAGCCGAGAGCAGTCTGTCTCTCTCCTGTAGAAAGTCTGACAGGAATAGTGGATGCTAGAGTTCAAGATAGAGGGGCAAGATGGAGAGGCAGTAGCCATAAATTGCCTGAAAGGCATACCTATTGAGGAATGTACTGAATGCTAGGGGGAAATTTTTGCAACCTTTCCATCCTATTGTCCTGCTGATATGAGATATAGTAGCTCATGTATTGTTATAATTGATTTCATGTTTTCCAATAATTGATTTGACACAAGATAACACAAAAATAAATGAATTGGAATGTTTAAAAGCTTCAAGGGGTTTTTCCAATTGGCTATAAATTGAAAGTTGTAATCCAAGATCATGTGACTGACTAATTCCTTCTACCTAAAAACATGTTCTGGAAAGTGTCTGAGCTAATGGAAGGCCTTTGCAAGGAATACAATAAGCCATTTTGGTACATAAATCTACTATCACTAAAATAGTTGTGTAATCCTGTTGAGGAGGAACGTGAGTAACATAATCCATTGAAATAGAATTCCAAGGTCCAGATAGGGAAGAGGGTGGCTGAAGTAAATTGGCTGACTGTGCAAGGGCAGTCTTGGTCTAGCAATAGACATGATAGGATGAGACATATTTCTTGATATTTGCTCTTATTCTTCAGCGTCAGAACTCTGAGCGCCCAATGAAAACTTTTAAACACTCCCCTATGGTCCAGCAATTTGATTGTCATGGTAGAGTTGTCCTTGAAAGAAGAAGAACATGGTGTTTATGAAACAGCTTATATAAGTCACAGAGGATAAATAAGTCTGTGGTCCTCTGGAGATTGTCTATATGACATACGAGTCTTATTGTTGCAAATAGTCTGATCCAACATATCTACTGCCTATTTCCCTCCCCATAATCTTTTCCAGAAGATCTATACTCGGAGAAGGAGCAAAACTGTTTGGCTTTCACATTGTGATCGAGAGGGTTGAGCATGGAAGATCATATTCAGATTTTTGTGATAATATATATGATAATTTGTTTTTTAGATCCAGAAATATAAGTGACATTAAATTTGAAATGGAGAAAAAATGAATCCACCTGATCTTGTAAGGTATGATGGATTGTGCTTTCAATAAGTGTTCCATATTCTTCAGATGTAGCTGTACTGGTTTATTCCTTCTAAGAAATGTCTGCCATATTGGAATGCTGCTTTGGTCATAAGCAACTCTTTATTGAAAATGCCATGGTTCCTTTCCTCTGGGAAAAGCAATTTATAATAAAATGCATAAAGCAGGAGATATTCCCATACAATTTTTTTATGTTTGGAAAATGCCTCCTAATGTTGTGTCTGTCTTATGTGTTTGTTTACAAAACAAAAGGATGAGTGGGGACAGGATGTCTGATGACTCAAGGATGTCATTTGAGACAATTTGAACCTCTGTCCCTTTTTTAGCAGTTAACAGTCTTGTGGATCATGCAAAATCATGGAGAACATTTTCTACCGGTAGAAACTTGCAAAATCCATAAAAACATCTTTCGTACTTCTAGATGGTTGCTAAAAGGGGCTGTACTTTTGCAGGATCAATTTGTATTCCCTCTATAGAGATCTAATAACACAAATAGTCCATTTGAAAATATCAAAAACATATTTCCACCTTTAGTAAAAAGATTATATTTGAGGAATCTCTATAAATCACTTGTAATACAAATCTTGTGTAAAAATGGATGCTCTGAAAACATCAGTGTGCAGTATGCAGTCCAAGTACAGCACTACATATTTGACAAAAATATCAGAAAATATTTCATTGATGAATCTAGAAAGACAGCAGGACAATTA